CATAAGGGTTCCTAGGCAGTGGAAGGGGCTGGGAGTCAAATGCAGGGGTTGAGGTATTTCAGCAAAGAAAAGCCTTGTGCTGTAGCTTTCCCTGGCCGTATCTGCCTGGAGTCTGGGTGACCTGTTTTCTACTCCCATGTAAATGGCCGTGGCTCCTCACTGGGGCCCTTCTGGGAGCTGTAGGAGATCCTTCACCTGTTAGGTGTGAGAGCTAACAGAGCTCCAGTGAGCCAGTTCTGTCTCCTGAGCTGAGCCATGCCCTGGGTTTGGGAGTGGGTGTTGGGGTTTGATGGTCTGGTGGGGAGAGGTGTGGGGTGGGCAGGGGATGTGGAGTTGGGGCTGTGCCCGGCACAACTGCTCCCAGCAGGTGCTGGCCCCAAGGGCCATTCCCCATGGGGCTGGCTCCAAGGGCTGCTTCTGGCGGGGCTGGATCCATGTGCTGTTGTCCCCGCTCAGGTGGATGCCGTCTGTCCCCAGGCGAGCGGACGAGCCGAGTGAGGACTTTGCGCTCCGAGTTCAGGAGGTAGGAGAGTGATGTGGGAGAGGGCTGTAGGACTGGTGCAGTTGAGGATGAGCACAGAGGAGAGCAGAGGGCAGGCAGAGTTGCAGAGGGCATTTCTGCATATGTTTGTGTGATGGGAGCTCTAGCCCATATTTATTGCCCCTTACAGGTACTCGATTTTTCCATGGCCTATTTGCCACCCCCCACTTAGCCTTTCCACAGTTATCAGGACTCTCTCCACTTTAGGCCTTTCACTCCCCTTTCCTGATGCCACAAATCAAATAAAGAAATTGTTTCTCCACCCTTCCTATATGTTCTGGGTACTTCACAGCTCCTGTACCAAAGATCTCGTATCTCCCCATCAGCCCGTTTTGGCAGGATGATACTGCTGCTCCTGCTCCTTCATGTGCTCCCTGCCACACTGAAATGCATCCCTGAGGCCGTGGAGAAATCGATTCCCAGCCCTCTTGCCCTTGCTGTAGCTCCATGCAAGCCTGCCCCCCTGACACGCTCCCCGGCACGGGGGGGCTGCCTGGGCAGCGTGTTGTGCGTCCTGTATGTGTTGTGTGACTCCTCTCTGCATTGCGCAGCTCTTGGCCATGGAGCTGGGTGTGGTATCCACACGGATCACCGCCGCCGACAGGACTGAGCACATGAAGAGGCTGCGGCACACGTCACGGCTGCCCTCTGCCCCAGGTGGGTGTCCGGGGAGGGGGCCTGTGGAGCCCTGGGGGTGTCCTGGCTGTGGAACTGCCACCTGGGCTTGCCTGTGTGGGGGCCTCAGTCTGCTCTCAGTGACAAATGCATGGAGTGGGAGGAAGAGGAGGACCAGGAATGTTGGGGCGCTCCCTGGGAGAGGGGCTGCCGGTGTGCTCTGGTCTGGGGGCTGTGCTTGGCAGGGGGGGAGGGAGGGGCCCACACTCCTGGACACAGACATGGGGGGTGTGGGCAGGGGGTCCAGCTTTCACGTCACACCAGTTTGTACTAACGCAGGGCTGGTGCAGCTGACAGGCCTTTAGTCACCCTCCTGTGCCCACTTCTTTCTCCTGCAGCCTCGAGTCAGCGCCTGGTAGCCCAGCCCAGGGTGCCCCCCCACCTGCCTGGAGGTGCTCCTGAGGACATGCAGGTTGTGGCCATGGCACAGCAGGTCAAGGAGGTGCTGCCTCACGTGCCCCTGGAGGTCATCAGGACAGACCTGGGTGAGCAGTGCTGGGGTGTCAGGAGGGACGCAGGGGGACCTTCTGTGGTGTGTGGGACTTGAAAGCAGAAACCTTGTCCCTGTTGCACTGGAGCACAGTGGCAGCCAGGATGGAGCATCCAGATCTCTAAGGGATCCCTTTGTCCCTGCAGCCCAGACCAACTGTGTGGACACCACGATTGCCAACTTGCTGGAGGGGAGAGTTTCCTTCTTCCCTGAGAGTCAGGAGGCTGGTACTGACCTGCCTACCCTGTCTACCTCCCAGGCTGCAGCTGCTTCTGGCATCCAGGGCTCCGTGGCTGCGCCTTCTGCCAAGGTACTGTGGGCTTGTGCATCTCCCTGATCTGGTGGCTTGTGTTCAGGACTAGCCAGGGGCATGGAGCACTGACCTGATGTGCCAGGCCTTCCAGAGCCAAGGAGGCTCCTGCTTTGTCTGTCTCCTGACGGCTCCTGTGCTTTCTCTTCCAGACAGCTACAAAGCAGTTTGCCAAGTCCCCCGTGGAGCGTCACCTGTCCTTGCAGGAGCGGAAACGAGCCTTGTACGACTATGCCAGGAGGTGAGAGCACCCCAGGGCTCCCCTGCCAGGGCCCTCACGACTCCCCCTGCCCAAGCCCCCAAGCCATGGCCCCAACAGCACCCGAGATGCCCCAGGCTGTGCCAGCTAGGTGGTTCCCAGCCCCTCCTACCCCCAGTCCCAGCGCAGGGCTGTGGGAGGGGGGCAGGTGATTGTCACCTTTCCAAGCGTGCGGCCCTGTGTCATTCCTGGGAAGTGCTCTGTGCTCGTAACTACTGCCAGGCCTCTGGTTTTGGGGGCTGAGGGGTTGGAGCTGCTTTTCCAGAAGCACTGAGGAACAGAGCTGAGCACAACCAGCCTCACTAGGCTTCTCGATGTGACTCGTGTCTGGCTGTCAGGATCCCCTGTGGGACTGGGTTTTTCTGAGGTCACACTGGCGCCCTGGCACCCTCGGTGTGGGCAGGACATTCCTGTTTGGCACCATGGACAGCGCAGTTACCTCCGGTGTGAGGGAACAGGGAGCAACCTGTGCGGGATTTTGATGAGGCAAATCCTGGAACAAGTGGCCAGCTCTGGTGACTGGTTGTTGTTTTAGAATGATACAGAAAACTGAGAATGAGTTTGAGGGGAAGTTAAGTGTGCCTGCACTTGTTGGGCACTGAATGGCTGGGGCTGTGCTGAGGGAACCATCCTGCCAAGAAACCCTAACTGGGAAACCTCATCCTGACAGCCAGGCAGGGGCCTGCTGGGGAGCAGGGGCTGGTGTGAGTGGGGCCAGTGTGGGTGGTCCCTGCAGCCCCTTGCAGGCCTTGCTTGGTCCGTGCTCCGTCGGGCTTGTCCCCAGCAGGGACAGTATCTGCCCTGTGGCTCTCCTGGAGCAGCTCCGGCCACTGTCTCCTGTTTCCATGGGCTCCAGGCGAGCTTGGAACGGAACCGGAGCCAAGGTGCAGCCGGGGAGCGCACGGCCCTGGGGCACTGCAGTGTGAGGGTCACTCCCACTGTCTGGCCCTTCAGGTCCCGGTCCCGGTCCCTTGGGGTCGCCACCGCTCTCTGGCGGCCCCTCCCCGGGCAGGCTCGCGG